ACTCCATCGGCCAACTCAACCCAGAGTGTCTGAACTTGAAGTGATGGGCTGTCCATCAGCATCCACAGTGTCAGCAAGAAGTCCTCCGACAATGACCTTCACTGTATCATCGCGATCTCGTAGATATCTTCGAATTGGTCGAGCAACGTGATTTAGAAGCACTCCTCGTGGGTCTAGCTGGCTAAAGGCTCGAATGATTGAGATATACATTTGCAATATTTCAACGGTTGAGGCGCCCGGGTGAAGAAGTCGCTGTATCAACATAGAAACAAAGGAACTAACCAGATATAGTCGCGTCGCGGGATTAGTCGTATAATGTTTTAAGTCCTCGATTGCGCCGCTGCTCGAATCCCACTCGACAATGACATCGAAAAGCTCACTGATCCGCAGGGTGCCCAGCCGTGCAATCCCCATTTCTTGCCACCTTTTGACATCACCCAGAGTGACATCCAGACGTTCCTCAGGTAAGGCCCCATCGTCATTGGTTTTGAAGATATGCAAAATCCGTACCACCAGCCTCGCGAAAACATGTTCGGTCCACTGTCGCAAATGCTCTTCAACAAGCGAAGGAGATTCCCATTGACCCGCATAGGCAGATGTAACAAACTCGGTTAATATGTTATTCATTACACCTGCAAATATCTTTTGGCCGTTTGCCCCCCCAAGCCCGACTTCTTGAAGGCCCTCTAAGAGATGTAGTAACTGATTTCTAGTTTGCGTGACTTCCTCATTTTCCCCACTAATCATTTGCAGTCTTCGCTCCGGTGACGGTTCATTTTTCCACTTGCTATATGAAGTGGTGAATATCTGGTCGATTTCCATGCCATCATCGGCTATACTATTATTTTCAAGAGTACATTCTTCGTCCTCTTCGTTATGAACTCCTAGAATAATCAAACTTTGCGTAGCAAGCTCCTCAGAAAGCAGGTATGAAAATATCTGCAGAAAGGGAGGGCAAACGTGACGATAGTACGGAAGTTCCGTTGTATCCGCGCGAGACTTTGTTCCTGGTCTGCGGGGTCTAACAGGGGAGATAAATATAAGAGAAAAGTGGTGATATAGATGCTCCTTATTAGCCTTAGGTACCGAACCAGCTTTGATAAGGTATCAGGCTGATTTCTGGTTTTCAATCCCTAAAATTGCACCAATTAGCCAAGCCAATATGGTCTGAGAAATGAAGTACAGCAATTAAATGATGATATTAGAAGACGAACCGCAACGAGAAAAGTCCGAAAATTTGTTAGAAAGTGTCTCCGCATCTCACTTAGATACCACTCCTTCACGTCATTCTCTTTTGATCCCTGCCGCAAAGCCTTTCCAGGGGATGAATCCGCGCCGACATAGAACAGGCTTTCGGACACTAGTTGGGACGGAGGCCCTTTTGCCCACCGTTTTAACAATGTGTCTTCATCCCGTATTCCATCATCATCATCATTATTTCTGAAGCCCTCGTCAGGAATAGAGAGAAATGTAGTTGCGGCATGCCAGGCTCGATCCCAAGTAACCTGTTCCGGTACATTTTCCGGCTCCCTTTGATTACGATCACTGCTGAAAGTACCCCCAGCTCGTGTTAAGCTCTGGACAGGGCTTGAGATTGGGGTTGGGGATATGCTGCTTAATGGAGCCGAAAGGAAGACGGAATCAAAGACTCGTTTACGGCTGATTGACAGTGGGTTATTTTGGAACATTGCGTCCTGAATGTTTATTCGAGATATTGGCGTGTTCCCTCCGGGTTTAACTGGGCTGAGCGAAACCGGACTGGGCCATCCCTACCGACTAATGAGGCTCCGCATTGGAATAACTGGGATTTGGAGACATCGGCACCGGGTGAGGTGCTTCTGTTGTCGAAGATGAGAATGGAGTTCTAGAAGGTGCGCGGGTAGAACACGTGATCACGTGAAGCCTGCCCATGTGTCCTCTAACTATATGTTGCGGTGGGTATCAACTCATTGGAGGTTCTAGTATTAACGTAGATAGCATAATGTACTTTCTGGTCGCCATCACATCAAATGTGAAAACGAGCAGGGGAAGCAAGAGACATATTTACAATAACGATCAACGGGTATCAAACAGCTCTCTGTTGTTCTCTGATGATCTTGGGTATCTGGGTTCGGTTGATAAGTTACCAAACACGTATCCCAAGTGCAGGTTGAATCGACGCCAATAGCTAATCAAAAAAGGCTGGATCAATACTCTAAACAAGATCCGCTAAGAAACGAAGAAGCTAATAAACGGAATCGGGAAACTCATAAAGAAAACAAGCACAACATTGCGTCAAAAGTAAAGTAAACAAACTCTCGGAATAGGCGTCATAGGCGGCAGTACGGAGATGCTTAATCACCCGCGTTTTGATGTTATATATACGTGAATATGGTTCGACGCAGTCGTGGAGACTCAGGCTAGGCTGAAATCCAGATTAATGGATTAATCGACCCCTCTGGGATCCCATATCTTCTGTATTATCTCCCCTTTTCATCAACCTTCTCCCATTCACTGTCCGTGCTCACGTAGCCAGAGTTATCGGGGCCACTTCGTCGCTTCTTTAAATCTTCCGTCTCGATTGGTGGAGGGCCACGGGAAGCACCAGTGCTCCGCGGTGGGGGAGGTCCCATTAAACCAGATGAAATCGTACCTGCGGGTAACTGAGGCTCTCCTCCCGCAAGGCTTTCGGTTTCGGTCTCACTCTCTGTGTCGATAGCCCCGGGTGGCCGACCTATTGGGCCTTGCTGGGTTGTTTGGGATCGGGACGGGTTGGCGGTCTCCGATGGTTCGCGGGAAATTTCAAATTCTTTCACAAACCAGTTTATCGCCCACCATAGACCGCCACATAGGGATGAGAGAACAGCAAAGTGGATGCTGTAAGTCGTAAGGAGAAGGACAAATAGGAGGAGTTGGAGAAAAGCAAAGGTTACATTTGTTGCGATGACTAGCGAAGGTGTTGGCCCCGGTGTGAATACGCTCGACCAGAGATCCTCGATAAAAGAGACCATTCTGTATGGATATTCTGCGGCTATTATACTGATATGAGGGTTTTCCGTACCGTTCGGGGAAGTGACGACTTGGACGATAAAACGATAAAAATGAAGTACGATCCCGAAATGAATATGGAACGAAAAAAATGCCAGATAGCCAGGTTAGAACACGTATATCTTTCGAATAATGGTCAGTGTGTTTTCACAACGCTCTTATCCTGGTGCCTCAATACGTAGTGTTGCTGCCAGATGGAGGGGTTGGCTGCAGAACCTGCTTAGTGTACTCCGTATGTAGTGCGAAATTAATCAAGATACGGATTTCCAGAACAGTTGAAACGGCGCGTGGAGATGAATTTGATCTTGTAAAGATTTATTCTAAGCCATCATAATAGCATTCCAAAGAGGCATTCCCTGCCTTCACCCGTGTTGGAGGACCTCGTCTTGATGATAAAACGGGCAGCTGATATCGCGACGATCCCCGCATCATTGTTGATCCGACAACGCCAGCTAAACGTCGTCCCAATTTCGGTCGGAAAAACTTTCAGGGTTGCTCAAGGCACCAACATCAAAATTTCAGACCACGTATATACAACGAGATCATGGTTATTCTTGACTACTGGAGGGTTTGTTCTCGTATCCCCATAACAACCCCTAATACTAACCGTGACATTCGTTGTGCGGGTGAGCGAGCATTATTCCTCCGCAGTGTGGGTGTGTTTCCAAAAGTTAACCAAAAATTTTGGAACCAGGTTATAATTGCTCTGTCGAGATGGATCATGAATTAACCGTGATACAACAAGAAAACTGTCGACAGCAATGAATGGGATGCCTGTTTCGGAATGTAAAAGAAATAGATCATACCCCGGGCCATCAATGGCTATATCTACTCGATCTCTCGAGCCCAGGAGTTTCTTACCCCCTTTCCATGGATTTACAGTGCCAGGCCATAAATATTGGCAACCCCCACCACAATCATGGTGCCTTTTTGGGGCAGAAAAGTAGTGGGGGTTGCCAATACTTATGGTCTAGTACAGTATATGGCGCTCCCACGCGCTCCCACCGTCGACCGGCAAGTATCTTCAGTTCTGAATCTCGTTTTTTGTGGCCCATGAGCGAGCAATGCACTGATTCGACTATATAGCTGAGATACCAAATTAGGATTCGAATATTTCGGACTGTGGGGTACTTGGGTGTACACCCATTGACATTCTGAAGGACGCCTATCAATACCGAGGGAAAAGACATTCCGACAAGCGTAGAAATCTTAGCATTTCGGGTCTTGATTGAAAATAATGCTGAAAGCTCAACGGCTTCAGCCCATATATTGACCTATTTATTCGGTGGATGCTAAACAACAATGCACCGAAATGCTGGACTTTGTGGAGAAATTTTCTTTGCGCTTTCATTTGTGAACTCCCTCTCCTCTTAAGCCACAAGCTACAAGCCACCAGGGGTTTGTAAAGAAGCTAATATGAATCCAAACATGTCGTCTGTCTCAATTCAACAGCAAGGTCCCGACTTTAAAGGACGGTTGATAACGCAGTTTCACCTATACCCGCTCTATGCCTCTGGTTAGCGTCAATGCAGCTAGATAAAGGAGCCAAACCCATGCTTTTCGCTGAGGAATATTCAAACAGATGGCTGGATTCTCATAAAATTATTTGCCTATCTCCACCAAGTTGTCAAGTGCCATGTAGCCAGGCTTTTGCCAAGATCGAGAGTGCAATATTTGTGACCGGCGGAGAGCTGGAGGTGTTGTGTCACGGAGTGTCCTTGCGACATACACTCCTATCCCGAACTATATTGCCCTTTCTTTCACTTTGTTCTCTAAATATGCAGAAACTGTTGTTATGAACAAGAACCCAAATGGAATCAATCATCCACCGATGAATTTATTCCTCTTGACCCTCTCGTCCAAACTCTTGCTGGTTGCCACTCGCCCCACCTTCCCCTCCTATTCTTAGCGGGGTTGCATGAATCAATAGCGCTATGGTTACGGAGCACCTTGTGGCTTGGCCAATTCCTGTCAACAACCGCTAGAATAGCAGTTCCTGAATCATTTGAATGTCACGATGGGTGGATGCCATTGGTGGAGGTCTCTGACGAACAATCCAATACGGTCTTGGTGATCCTCGTCACATAAGTATGCAGTACACCTGCATAAGGTAAAGGTAGTTTTCAGAAATGAGAAAAGTTTTCTCCTTCTTAATTGGGGATATGGGGTCTCAGGTTTCGCATTGCTCGTCACCCATTGCTGTGAACAATCGAGCGACGCTAATACGGCAGGCCCTCCTTGAAAAAGAGTTGCAGCTTAATAAACCCCTGCGTTCAATCTTCAATGGTTGGTCGAATACATGTAACAGCTGTGAAATATTTGTGTCTCATCTCCGCGTATGCACCAAAGCGGAACCGAATGAGGCTCCTCCGTGTCTCTCAAGTTTCAACTTTCAAGTCTCAACTTACCAGCCCCACTCTTCTCTTCAGCTCCGTGACCAGGCGAACAGCTAGCTCTCTTTAATTTTCCTGATTTTGCTCTTCACCCCGGGCCGTACCAAGTCAATCATTCCTTTGATGGGATCCCCAAAATGGTAACAATAGCAACTTGCCCCATCAATCATACTATAAAATGAGATGTAATGAACAAAGCCGGTGACCTGGATTTCTATCCATAAACAAATTGCGTGGTTAAGCGCCTTTTTTTCCCACGAGGTCAACATGTTAAAATAAAGTGCTTAGCCATGCAATCCATGTCGTGTGAAGCAAGCCTGATGATTGGCTGTCTGGAAACCCTATTTGATGAGAGCAAGGACTTTGAGTCTGGATTGTTTCTACCTTCCCCGCCAGGGCCCAATGTGGCCACCATTCCATAAAAGCAGACAGCAATACGGAGTACATAATACATACTTCAACAGCATTGCTAATACATTTGTCAGGCCAGCCTGGCCAGGGCGATTTCCCCCTTTCAAACAATTGTGTTACAGTGAGTCACGATGCCTGGCACCGAGTGGACTAAGTTATTTCGCAATCAATCTGATCTTGGGTCGATAAAATATGCAGAGCTTTTACATATTTGTTTTGAAGGTAAACTGTGATTATCCAGGATATATTTGTCGACAGCGGTCCATGAAATTACGATTGGGCCAATTTATTCTGAAACCCTTTAAAAGGCTTTGGATTATTTCAAGAAGTGCATTAACCCGAGGGGGAATGGCGAAATAAATTTCTACGCTGTCAGCGTGGTGTACCCATGCCATGAGGCTCAGATACGTAACTATGGGGATAGTGTTCGTAATCACCCATGAAGAAAAAAAAAAACTACGGGCTGTTCAGAGATCCATGGATGGAGCTGGTCGATCACATGACCCCAGGTCCAGCCCGACACTACTATTGGGCCCATGGCCCATTGTACCATCGATTCCCACAATTCAATGGTATTCTTTTAGTCGGAATCAAGACTTGTCTTAAGAACTGCTTCTCTGCCAAGCATCAGCCTTTGGGCCAAGGACACATGACAAGTTTCATGGCAGAGATACACATACGGACTCGGGGTTTAGCACATTTTCCAACTAGATCGGATACATGAGAATTTCTCTGGAAACGCTACCTGAAGGCAGGGCGAGGCACATGCAGACCTTGGTCAGGCATCAAGGTATCTTCACCAAGTGGATGGGTGAACATGATCATGCCTTGCTGGAAATAATCGGAAGGGATTGTTCGGTTGTCCAGTTAGCTTCGGATTGGCCCCATATACAACGACCCTTTTACAACCCTAAAATAACCTTGCATGGGAAAATGTCGTGTTGGTCCCTTAGCCCTGTTGACCAGGATAAGACGGAAATGCCATACTCAGCGGATAGGCGATCGTCCTCAAATCTTGAAACTATTGCGTTACCTGAAACCACTTGACGCAGATTATTAACTACTCACACTTTGAACAACTTCTTTGATGTATGAGAAGTCATCCGATGCCTCCTCTGGTGATTGAACTGGCTAATTTAATTGTCTTGGGAAAGGACTTGTCTGAGCAAGAGCCGGTTGGCTTGGCTCTAACTAGTTTGAAGTCTAATTAAGAGCATCAACTCAATTTTCGAGTTGCTTGCCTACCCATGCCCAGTACGTTTCCTCGGCCCCAATCACTATATGGAGTCGCTGTCGAGTTCTTTGGTTTGCCTTCTCCCATGTAACTGCATTCGACATGGCTCCTAGAACACTATCCTCGAATATTATCAACCTAACAAGGGCACAAGAGACAGCTGAGATCCTGTCAAGAGAACTTGAGCTAACCACGCCAATTTAAACGACTCCGCCGTGGATTAAACTCTGAAGTGGAAATTGCAATATTTTCGCCTCTCCTGGGGATCTACGGAGTACTTGCTCTCTGTTGGTCTGTTGCAATTTCACTTTGAAATGATCGGAAGAGGGAGAGAGGAGATAGTGCCTTTTTGGGTAGGGCGTGGAACTAAGCTACCTACCAACATCAAAACATCTGGTGTTACAATCCCCACGTGGTGGTCTTGGTGAGCGGGATGCAAATCTAACTGTGAGAATCATATCCGTCCGGGGTTCTATGGCATGTGTCAGAATTTTGGATAACCAACAAGCTCCTTAGGGCTGACTTTCCATTTGTCATCTCGCCATTTCAACGTGCGGAAAACGTCTTTGCATCGATAATATCGTTTGCTAAATCGGGCCTACTTGATGGGCTGGTGTGAATGGGGCTCGCTCCAATGCAATGGCTGAGTATTCTTAAAGCAGATTGGGGTGGAGATGCAGGCATCTCCTATTTTAAGCTCCTTTATCCCCCCAAAATTTACGCTCATTTCCTCCCATTAATCTCCATTCGTTTTACGATTCTCACATATTTCGGGTTGAGAGATATTATTGCGAGCGCTGTCGCATCTGTTGCGAAGGGCAGCTTACTGCTGTGCAGAGTTCATTTATGTTATAACAAACTAGGTTAAATCT